ATATATGAGTAAAAACTTTAAACCTTTGTAACGTGCTGAGCAAAGGAGAATTTTTCAGAAATATTTTCATTACAAACGGAACATGCTTATAAACTATAATATGTATAGTTTATGGAACACACATACCGCTCTACTAACTCAAGAAATAATACAAGAACATACTTATAAACTATAATAGGTATAATTTATGTAACATTTACAACATTGTTACTAAATTCAGAGATACAATACAAACGAATATATAAACTATAATTGGTATAGTTTATGGAACGTACGAACTACTTTTACTAAGTTCATATTTCACTGCGGTAAAAAACATATAAACTATATTAGGTATAGTTTATGAAACATACATACAATTATTCATTACAAAGTGATTTTCATTTATTCTACACGTAACCGTCAGTATAGCTTTGTGAGACACACTTCAAGTACTTACCGAAGTACCAACCAAGCTCTAAAATTATAACCAGATTCTCCTCGAGGGAGAGCGTGAATTTGTGTATAGATCTATATGGGAGTGACAATCCCGCGCCTTAACTGTTAGCTACAGTTAGGCCGGCAGGCCTGGGGTGACAAATGTCATAACTATTCCGACGCCTGAAGAACGTCGTTTCAGGCCGTCTAAGGTCATCAAGTATGGTTATAATAACTCAAAATTTGGTATTGAACAATACGATTAATGTAAGAATACATAAACAACTTCAAGTAGTTTTATTAAATAATAGAACTACAATACAATATTTTACATTACATCTGGTGGAATCCAGGCACATACATTTACAGAGTTTTCATACAAGAACATTACAATATACTATTTTCAGTACAGAAAAACATACATTTCAGAGAATCTTACATTTCAGAGACAACTTATATTTCAGAGAAACACTCAATTATACTTAGTTTTGTTTAAATAATAAGACTACGATATACTACTACTGAGTACAACAATTCTTACATATTATGTCTTATGGTATTAAGACTACAATTCATTTACAACAGAAAATATAGGATTTTCTAGGAGAACATACATACATTTTCAAAGAACAAAAAACTGATTTCCAATACAAACGTGCTTATGAACTCACCAACTTAAATGGTGATACACTTTCAAAATCACTTGTATTCTCAGGAAACCGGTAGACAGGTACACTTACAGGTTTTTGAGAAGACGGAGCAGTCATGGTGTCACATCTTATAGTTTTTTCCATACACTTTTGATGTCATACAAACTATGTTATGAACAGATGTAAAAACTATACTTTATCAATGTAATGGTTGTGTTTACTTTGATTACTATTATACAATTGTTGTGATACTGTAAATGACGTCCTCGGCCCCAGAACGTTTTCGCTGTTCTGGTTTGGGGGTGTAACATATTTAACATAAAAACACTCATTTCAATTTGTAAACTTATGTGGTTCTTATTAGTTTGAAAAGTTTGTTATTTTGGTTTCCCACATAGTTGAAGAGAAGGGTAGAATATTACACCTTATAATAGAATAATATAACTTATAATATAATTTTAAAATGATACACATTAATATCATACTATTGTACATAATTTTATAATATTACACATTAACATAAAAAATTCTTTTATATAAATTAATTTTGTTTCTTATAAATTACTTTTGATATTATTTTAATATGATAAATTATAATTTAGAATATTGCATAATAATATCATAATATTACATATATATGTAATATAAGTTTTTTTTACACATTAAAACTTAATTTGGAATATTCTATATATATATATATATATATATATATATATATATATATATAATATAAGTTTATTTTTACACATTAAATCATAATAATAGGATTTTAATGAGTGTTAAAAAAGCTTAAATTTAATTATACTTTGTTCCATTAGAATATTCTACATATAAGTCAGAAAATCTTAGAACATTATAATATTAGAATATTCTATATGTAACTTATGACAACTAATAACATTTAATTTTATTCTATTAGAGTATTATGTATATACCAATTAATTTTAAACTAATGTAATATGTGGAAGGTCTTATTAACATTATAAACTACCAATATAATATGTGGAAGGTCTCATAACATGTCTTTATTAGAATATTAAACATATGTATACAAATTTTAAAATATTTATTATTCTAAGAAAATCATTACATACACACTTGTGAAAACAAACAATATATAAATTTATTCTACTAGAATATTGTACATATACAGACACTTATAATGTAATTCTATCATAATATTCTATGATAGCTATGATGTCCCAACAATAAAATATTAAATATAAATTCATTTTACACATTACAACATATTTTAGAATATTACACTTTAATATTAGAATCTTACACTTTTTTATTAGAATATTACACATAATTTCAAAATATTAAATATTAAAAACATAATATTAAATATTGCTCATTTGGAATAACTAGATAATATTATGTCAAAGAGTGTTAAAAAGCCTAAATTTAATTAGGCATTGTTCTATTATAATATTTTACATATAAGTTAGAATATCTTAGAGCATTCTTATATTAGAATAATCTACATGTAACTTATGAAAAAAAAACATATAATATTATTCTTTTATACTATTATGTACATACATAATAATTTTAAACTCGTGTAATATGTGGAAACTCTTATTAACATTACACACTACCCATTTAATATGTGGAAGGTCCATAACTTGACTATATTAGAATATTATACATATGTATATCAAATTTAAAATATTAATTAGTCTATAAAAATCATTACCCATACACTTATCAAAAGAGATAACATATGAATTTATTATATTAGAATATTCTACATATGCATACACCTATAACGTTATTGTATTAGAATATTCTATTGACAACCATGATGTCCTAATAAAAATATTAAAATATATTATTCAAAGTACATATGATTTTCCTTTATCATTATTAAAATATAAATCTTATACTAAAATTTTAAAAATCATACTTCCAAAATTCGCATATTAGACTAAACCACAAAGAAAATTTATGTAATTTGCTCTATTATTTATTAAATATAGCTGAAATACAACCTAATTATAATTTCTAAACTTAATGTTGTTTATACACTCCTATATCATCATGGAATCACACAACCATGAACCCTAGATCCTATTCGGTAATTACCTTGTCACATTCAAGCTCTCTCTCTTATATATATATATA